CGATCAATGATTATAAACATAAATTTAAAATCTATTATGGTATGAAACAATTATGGTATTAAATTCAAAGATAATTTAAATTTTGGAGATTTCTAATTAACTTCACAACATGACAAGTATTAAGTAAATATTAGAAGGATATTTTTACCCATTTATTAGTACAACATGGGCAATTTAGTTATTACATCAATATTTAAAATTGTGTTAGCAAAACTAACAGTTGACTTCTTCTCAAAGGGAGTAAAAGTATATTGTTTTGATTGAGGGGACTAAAGTGTGATGATCTCCCTAATACAAGGCCAAAATGTTGTTAAAACCTCGAGTTTAAATCTTAGGAAAGATTTTAAAAGCTCCCTCCTATGACCAATGTAATTATGTCGGGTCTACAAGAAATTTATTCTCTAGTTAAACTTTTTATCCCATGACAAATGTATTATCACTTTACATCCTTAAACTATATTACTACTATCAAATTTACCCCCTAAAATTATTTTTTAGTCATTTTAACCCCATAGGCAATTCAACGCAGCATGTTAACATATTTTTGAAAAAAATACCCTTTTATTTTATAGCATTACTACATTATTATTATCACTTTATCTCTTTAAATTATAGTGATACAATCGTTTTACTCTTTAATATTATTTTCTAGGCATTTTATCCCATTTTTAATAGATTTACCCTTTTTTATATATAATTAAAATTTTAAAAGTTGGAATGATTATTCTTCCTTCTTTTTCACTCTGGAGTTCTAATAACATAAAAATAAAAGAGTTTTGCCAAATTTCTTTTTTTTACACTTATTAATACTGGAAAAAGAAAAAGAGTTAGGAGAGAAGGAGATAGAAAATTATATTTTGTAAAGAAAAAAAATAAAGAAAAATCTAATATTATCGTATTAACGTCGTTGGGATCAGAATTGGAATTGGATGATAAATAGAAAAGTAAAATAATTTTAAAATAATAAAATATTGAATTCTTTCTTATTTGTATTTTTTTTTAAAAAAAGAATTGAGCTCTCTCTTTCTCTCCCTCCCATGTTACTATATTTTTTCAATATTAATAAGATTGTCAAAAAGAAAGAAATTAATACTTTGATTTTTTTCTATGATACTGAAAAGGAGAATAGTCATTCTAAATTTTTTATTATTTTTGTTATACACAAAATAGGGTACTTTCTTCTAAAAATTTTTTAACTTGCTAAATAAGTTTAATTGTGAGATAAATTACCTAAAAAATAACGCTAGAGGGTAAACTGATAATAAGGCTATCGTTTATAAGGGTCAAGTGATAATAGTTTTAAGGGATAAATATGTATTTTTCACTTGAATTAACAAACTCTGTTAAGTTTGATCGTTAGTTTTAGAGGTAAAGTGACTAAAAAATAACATTAAGAGAGAAACTAATATTAACATTAAATGGTATGGGGGTAAAGTGATAATAACCCTAAATTGTAATTGCATATGGGTTTCCCCACAATGATTATAGTCTTAAAATCCAACCCTATACTTGGATGATTATTGGCAACAATTTAACACTAATGATTGTAATTAGCTATTTTTGTATGACAAAGAACCAAAGGACAAAGGCCTATATGGATGTCAAGTTGTCAACGCATTATGAAAGAAGCAAAAAGTCAGGGTTTCAACATTTGAAAGAAACCAATTGTATAGCCCGAGGTTTGGTCTTAGTAATTAAGAATTTTTTGATAGAAAAAATTTCATTAACAAATACTGAAAATCGTCCAGGACAAGTTGGTCTAGATCATTGCCCTAATGATAGGTTAAACATGCAATACAAATTACAGATTTGCAATTTAACATATACAATAAATCCAAAAAATTATAAGTAGATATGAAAAATATAAAAAATTTCAAGTTGTCTTCTAATAGATAGATCGTTGCAACTTCCTTTTGTGCATATTGCAATTGTTAGATCTACTAATCGATGGTTTTAAACTCTAATAGTGATGATGAAATATATCAAAATGGATCCAAAATCCAAAAAAATTTCTGATATGACAACCAGATCTATCAAATCTAATAACAAAGAAAGAAAAAAAAACACAAAAATCCCCATAAGAATCCCTAGGAGAATAGAAAATTTTCACTAGGAATCGCTAGAAGACACAGAGAACTCTCACTAAGAAAATTTAGGAAAGACTTTATTAGAAAAAATAAACAAAATGAAATGAGATACATAGGTGTGAGACCTCTCCCTCTCTTGCTAAATTAGCCTATTTCCTAGATCTCCAATACATGGGCCGCTATATAGATTAGGAAACTCCTAGTAGACAACGGTTTGATGGATATGACAGTCGATACCTTCGTTGAGCCTTTGACACACCTATCTCTACATAACCGACCTATGGCTATAGCCTATATCATAAAAGTAGCTCGGATATTGAGTAATTCGTACCTTTCATCACTATAAATACCCCCTTCTTTTCCATCTATGAGGTAACTTCTCTATGATCAAGTCTTCGTCTCCATTTTTTTGAAATAAGTTTAAGAACTAACTTAAGCATCATAATACCACCAGGGGGAAATCCTTGATCCATGCTTCAATCCTTTTCTTTTTGTAGACGACATTAGATTTCTCAAAGTGCTATCCACCTTGATAGGAAGTTTGCTTCCTATTCACACAATTAGTACCATTTATGGGAAATGAATTGTTTTGATTCTGAGTTTTCATCATGTCTAAGGCACGGTCTAATAGAAACTCTGAGATTCCTCATATGGAGGTGCCGATAATTAACCCCCAATGTAATCCACAAACCATCAAGGAAGAATCTTGTCTAACCATTGATGCAATTGCTCGGGAGATAGAGTTTGTAACCTCAAGCTCTGGCCTCTTTGAAGAGATAGCTAAATATATGAAGGGGAAGGAGAAGGTCAAGTCATCTCGGTGAAAGCCTAGGGCTTGCACATCACAGTCTTCTTCTAAGGGTGAAACCAAACCTCATCAACCAAGAAGAAATAGGGATAGCCCTCCTAGGCACAATGATAAGCCTGTTTCAAGAGTACCCGCAATCTCTAAGATTTTTACGAAGAACCCTTTTAAGAAAAGAGAAGTTAGTGAGGTATCTAAAAGAAGTTTCAATTTTTATAGGGACTATAAGAGAGCGCTATCTTTTACCCAAGAGATTAATAAGAGAGTTTTCCCCCTAAACTTTAATCTACATAACACCCCCTACTATGATGGTAAAAGAGATCTAGAGGACTATATTCATGCCTTCCTTTCCACTTCCCAACTATATGGTTTCAGAATTTGTGATGTGCCAAGTTTTTCCTTATCTTCTACAAGAGAATGCCTGTAAATAGTTCTAGAAATTGGAGCCAAAGAATATTTCATCATCAGATGAGTTCGTGAACAAATTTGTTCAGTAGTTTGTCTCCCCCTAACCTATAACCAAGATCTCAGCCTACTTGATGAGTGTAAAACAACAACTCGACTAGTCTCCGAGATCATATCTGGCTCCTTTTGCCTAAGAAAGCATCCTGATCCTGAGGAGCAAGTTACCATGGCCACTTTTTATCCATGGGCTCAAGCTTGGGGCCTTCACTATGAAGATTCACCAAAACTATCCTTCAACATTAGATGAGCTTTGGGAAAGAACATATCAATTTATGAAAGGAGAAAACTACAATCCACTGAAATGGGAATTTGCCCAGGCTTCTTTTGATTGGAGGGGAAATGCCAACCAAGCCAAGAATATATCAAACATTTTGGAAGGATCTGGGCATGATTCCAAAGTGTCTTTGATCATATTAATAAAGGGTAAACCTCCTATCTCTGATAGGGACCATACCCTTTTGAATACTACTCGATCTCATATTCTGGCTATTATAGAGCAGCAGAATCTAGGCCAACCTGCTCCTAAGATGATCGAAAAGAGAGAGAAGAGAAATGCGAACCTATATACTATGCATATAAGATGATCTCAAGAGAGATGAAAAACTTGATCAAATAAGGTTATCTTCAGCATTTGTCAAACAAGATCAGTGTTAGGATTTAAGAGAAAACCATTGTGACAATCGATGAGAAGATTAGCGGGATGACTGATGAAAAGATAAACAACAAGATTAGAGACCTTTTGAACATTGTCCATGGGACCATTGGGAATTGGATAGATTGCCTCGAGACTGGCCCCCTGACCTTGATCACCACTTAGCTAGAGTGATTAATACAATATGTGGTGGGTTAACTAGTGAAGATAGTCAAAGGTCGTGCAAGAGGTCATTCCGATAGTTTGTTGTAGATTCAATGAAGCTCAATTCACATCTCACAGAGGTGGTCTCTTATGGGCTGAATGATCCAGTTTTGACTTCTCACAATCATGAGGCATTGGTAACTGATGAGTGTGGGATATGCATATAATAATTAACTCATCCATAGCCAAAGTTTACATTTATAAATTTTTAAATACCCTACACGCAATTTTTCGCAAGTATACGAATTGTTTATTGAGTATAGAGGTATTAGGTGTCGATCCCACGGGAAAGATTGTCAATTACCAATGTTTTTTGAACTATTTCATTATTTAGACTATTACAAGTACAAGAAATTAAATCTACACTATAAAAGTAACAAAAATATAATAAAAAACTCTTAGAGGTATGGAATTCCTTACTATTCTTACAGATGACATTACCGATTAAGTGAATGCTATTATCTTGGCTAGTTATGACGTAATTTCCTAATGTATATGAAACCTACTCTTGCAGTGAATCAACTATACTTATAGTTAAGCCATACCTACTCTCGTGGTCATGAAATTAACTAAAAGGCCATTTCTTCTATAAAATTACATGAAACAAGTCACTAAACCCACAAAGGTGCACCTCTACTCTCGTGAGTGTACTCCGTAGATTTATTACTTTCTTGAACTAGTGTTAAATTCCAATTCTCATTACAAACCTAATACCTTAAGATTATCACAATTATTGGCTGATTAATCATGATTAGAAAAGCAAAAATAATAAATAACTTGCTCGAAACCTGGGCGGCTCTGCAGAACCCTAATCCACAGTTAAGGAGGGAAAAGGTAAGAAGAATCAGCAGCGATGGCGGTACCTTTGCTTTCGAAGAAGATAGTGAAGAAGAGGGTCAAGAAGTTCAAACGACCCCAAAGCGACCGAAAAATCTCCGTCAATACCAATTGGCGCAGGCCTAAGGGTATTGACTCTCGGGTCAGGAGAAAGTTCAAGGGATGCACTTTGATGCCCAATATTGGGTATGGATCTGATAAGAAGACTCGCCATTATCTTCCCAATGGTTTTAAGAAGTTTGTTGTGCACAATGTCAGTGAGCTTGAGTTATTGATGATGCACAACAGGACTTACTGTGCTGAGATTGCACACAATGTGTCCACAAAGAAGAGGAAAGAGATAGTGGAGCATGTAGCTCAGCTAGAGGTTGTTGTTACTAACAAGCTTGCTAGGCTGCGGAGCCAGGAGGATGAATGAGCTTTTTGGCTTTCATGCGCTGAACTTGGTTCATTTTGATTATCATGCCTTTTTGTTTACGCTATCCCTTGTTAGTAACATTGTAATTTTGACAGATGAGATGGTTTAGAGCGTTCTATAATGTCTCATGCATATAGATATACAATATGGTTAGTGCATTTATTTTTATGTCGTTAAAAAAATAAATAATAAATAACTTGCTCAAAATAATGTCATCAAATAACCAAATAAACATCACTAACAAGATATAGTAAGTTCATCGATACTCTGGGCGTAAATTTTAATTAAATATGAAGAACAAGATTCAAACTTGTGTTATAGTTAAACATGAATTTAAATACAAAAGAGAAAGTGATAGAAGAGAAATCACCCTTGTCATATAAGCTCTCTAACTCTCCATCTTTGCTCCTCAATTCTTCATCCAAATCTAACTACAAATATAAGAAGGAAAAACTACACTGACTATACTATACTACCTTAACTAATGAACTAAGGAAAATTTAGTGAAGACTAGATTTTTGTGGAGTTTCTCTAGCCTTCCAAAGTTCTCGAAATGGTCTCCAAAGACTGCTATTTATAGAGGATTCAAGCTCAAGGTGAGTTGTTTCTTGGTTGGCAAAGATGGCTTTTGAACTCACCAAGAGTTGTTCTCCAAGTTTCCACACTCTTCTTGGTCAGATACAACCGAAATTCTGAGTTGTAGATGAGTTGGAAGGGTTGTGTGAAAGCAAAACAAATTGCAGAGCAAGTTGCAGTAGAAAAAACGACCTCGAATACGCGACCTTAGATCACGTATTGCACTACGTTTTGCTTCTGTAGGTTTACACTTTCTAGGCAGAATTCATCCTTGCTATGTTTTTTGTCTAAATTCAACTGATATTTTCTTGATGATGGAGGCTGAACTAGCTCTTGTATAAAACATAAAATTGTAACCCTTTGAGTTATCTTTTAAATGCATCAAGAATCATCTAGTTTGGAGCTCTATGGACCGATAAGTGACCAAAATACTCACAACTTGTCATAACTTTGTTTCAGCTTTCGACCATAAAAATGCACTTCGGTATTTTGACTTTGACTAGGAAAATGACTAAACTGGACTTTGATGTCCACATGCCAAATGTATATCTATCTTTTAGCTTCAAAGTGGTATAAGAATCACCCCAATACAATGCTTGCAACTCTAGATATAGTCAATGTGACAGCCCCACCTTCCCCTAAGGCGAACCAAAGGGATTAGCGGACTGCCTGCCTAGCTCTCGCTAGGACTAATGGTTCAGTTCACATCGATCTAATACGTTCCGGAACATACTAACGCGCGTAAACCTGTCAAAATCACAAAATAAAAAAAACAAAAATTGGAGCTGGTCATGAATAGTACCGGCCACGTCAAAATCCGGTCAAACATCACGCAAACATACACATCTTGAAATTCAACATTTACAAACCAAAATGGCATACAAAATTATCCCATAAGTTTATACATATACGGTTTGCCAAATCAAAAGACAAATCGGACCCAAAAGTACATTTAGGGTTTCAATCAATGAGCTATACAAAAGCTATGTACATCTAGCTCAATTCGGCAACCAACTATCAAATCCAGTCTAAAAGTATTTATTTTCCTATAAGGAAAACAAAAGGAACAGAGTGAGCTTATGCCCAGTGGTATACTATCACATAAGCAACCAAGTCACATAAGCATAAAGCGGTCAAGAAAGAAATAAACCAAGATCACACATTAACAAAATGGTAAAAGGATACGGACGGCTCTCAAGAGCCCCTTTCCTCGCTCGTATACTTGATCGGACTTCATTGACCCTTCGTCAATGTTTACAAAGTAACCAACCGTAGGCTCCACTTTACTTCCATTCCTTCCACCCAACATACCCCTACCGGGTCCGAACTCCAAACAGTAGCAATTTGGTAATACTCGAGTATACCGAAATCAAGAGTCTCACTACTACAAGATTCCATATAACAGTCCCCATGGCTCGTCGACCTTCACGACCAAACCCTCGCTGGCTCGATTCAATCGACTACCAATGGGGTTGAGCTCAGTAGTACAGTAAAGGTCGTTGGATACTCGTCCAAACGACACCAACACCAGTTTTTCCATGAACATTTCCAGTATCACAGTGAAACAATAGACCGCTATAAATAATATCAGAGGAGGTGAGGGCGATCAAGTACACCCTCACTTCAATCAATTTCAATGCACAATTAAGCCTTCAAGGCATCACGTTCACATATAGCAAAGCCACATGGTAAACAAACAAGTGAGTAGTACACTCACCAATCAAGCAAATGATATTTCATGCACTTCCACCTCAGAGTGTCTTGCACCACCGTCACGTCCTAACATGGTCAAATAAGTACAATAAGACTCGATTACAAGTCATAACCAATTCTAAATACTCTCAAAACAAGATTCCATAAGAATATATAAGCATTAGAGTAAACCAGGAAAATCCGGAAATGGAATTAAACTTCAATCCAAAAAAATAGTTTTTGACATCATTTTGTGGTTTTGGCACCAATGGCACTACGATTATCGGATGGAGGTGTAAGATACACCGTTTTGAAGCTAAGAGATAGGGCTACAATATTACAGAAGGTTACTTAGTCCAGTTCATAGAACAACTAGGTCAAAAATGCAAGATACTAAACCAGAACCGTAAAAACAGGTGGACAAACCACATTCTGGTTAACGAACTATAATTCAGGCTACCTAAGTCCAAATCAAGTGATTCTAAAGCCATCCGAAAGCTAAGACATCAGGATACATTTTCTCAGAAGACCTCAACAACCAAATCAGAAGTATTCCCAGCCAAAATAACCAATTACAGAAGCAATTCTCAAGTTTGGGTGAAACCAGGGCAGTAGGGGTATTTCGGTCTTTTCATAGGATACGCTACTCCGATTGGCCTGAAATTTTGTAGCCATCTCTAAAATATCATTCCCTAAAACTTTCATATTTTAACCCAAGGCCAATTTGGCCTCTAACTATGAGGTACTGTGCCTGGCAGAATGTAAATAATGAAACCCTAACTTTCAATTTTTCTTCCAAAACAGAAATTTTCTGCAATTAACCACTTTTTCCACCTTCTAGTTTCCTTAATTATCATTCCCAATCATCATACATGACCACATAATAAGAATCACATGAAAACAGAAAAATCACCAATAATTATAAAACTTCACCAATTCAACCAAAAATCAAGATATAATCCACAAAATTACATCCTAGACTACCACAAATGATGGATTAAACATCATTAGGTGGAGGAGAGAGGTTCCTTCACAACTCACCTTAGCAACACAAGAGAGAGAGCAACTAGTCACCTTAGCTTTCCAAACAACTTCACCAAACATCTCGCAAACACTAAGTGAAGAGGTTTTATGGAACAAATACAAGATCAAATGGTTGATTAGTTGAATTTGAGCAAGATGGAGGCAAGAATTTGAAGAGCTTTTCCCTTTCTCTTTGCTTGAAGTGGGCGGCCAAGATGAGGAGAAAAATGGTGAATTTTTGGTAATTTTTTGATTTATTTGGTCAATTGGTAAGAAAATGAATAGTGGTCATAAAGTACAACCAACCATATGGTGACACTTGTCACCCTATTTAATGCATACATATCTCTTTGTTTCCTCTCACACCAATCCATATAACAACCTCTAATTATCTCATAACACCTGGTAATTTAAATCCAGTATCCAAAACTTAACCTAGTTGGCCGAATTTTTCCGAATTTTCCGCACTAGTAGGTCCCACGTCCGATATACGCTCTTAATTTTTCAAAAACTAACCGATACTAGAAAAATCATCTAAAAACTATATTTACTCATAAAATTATCGGGAAACTTTTCCTAAATAAGAAAATGCAGAAAACATGCCATTAACGATAATAAACCGTAGAAAAAATAATGAGAAAATTACGGGTTCTCACACTCTCTCTCCCTTAAAAGAATTTCGCTCTCGAAATTTCTCACCTTAACTCACGAAAAGGTCAGGGTATTTCCTTTGCATCTCTTCTTCTACCTCCCAGGTAGCTTCCTCTACCCCATGGTTTCTCCACAGTATCTTAACCACCGGAATCTGCTTGTTTCTTAGCTCTTTGACTTTCTGGTCAAGCACTTGGACAGGTTTCTCTTCATAAGCAAGCGATTCATCTACGTCGATCTCCTCTGGTTGTAGGATATGGGATGGGTCGGGATAGTACTTCTTGAGCATCGAAACGTGGAAGACGTCGTGAATTCGAGAGAGACTGGACGGCAGCTCTAATCGATACGCGACCGTTCCTACCCTCTGGATGATCTTGTAGGGTCCAACGAACCTCGATTGGAGTTTCTTTCCTTTACCTGCTATGACGCTCCGTAAGGGTGTGATCTTGAGGAATACATGGTCTCCAACTTCTAACTTCAAGTCTTTTCTTCGATTGTCGGCGTAACTCTTCTGTCGGTTATGAGCTGTTTGGAGTCGTTGCCATATCAACTTGACCTTTTCTCGAGCCTCTTCCATCCATGGAATAGTTGCTGGGTCTAGTGCCTTCCTTTCGCCAACTTCGTCCCAGTAGATCGGTGACCGGCATTTTCGTCCATATAGTGCCTCGTATGGAGCCATTTGAATCGACGAATGGTAGCTGTTGTTGTACGCAAACTCTATTAAGGTCATGTGTTGACCCCAGTTGCCTCCAAAATCTAGAATGCAAGTCCGTAGCATGTCCTCGAGAGTTTGGATCGTCCGCTCCGATTGTCCATCTGTCTGTGGGTGATAGGTCGTGCTCAAGTTAAGTTTAGTCCTCAGGGTTTCTTGGAACTTCTGCCAAAACCGAGATACGAACCGTGGATCTCGATCGGAGACGATACTGACTGGAATGCCATGTAGCCTTACGACCTCATCCATGTACAACTGGGCCAACTTGTCCATGGAGTACTTCATATTCACCGGCAAGAAATGGGCCGATTTGGTTAATCGGTCGACGATCACCCAAACGGCATCGTGTCCCCTTTGCGTCTGCGGTAAACTTGAAACGAAATCCATGGTGATGTTTTCCCACTTCCACTCGGGTATCTCAAGGGGTTGTAATAGACCCGATGGTTTTTGATGTTCCGTTTT